AATATCTGCTAAATCAATGGACATGGCATACCTTATTCTAGACATAATATACACGATTCTTTGGATCTAGACTCTAATTGATGTGTAGAGACTTCCATTCGACTCACTTTGCTACAGGTGGCATTCGCTATGTCAGTGACAGTGACGCTATGTGTTTAAGACAAAGCAGACCTAGATCTAAATTAGACATTAAGTGGCAATCTATACCATAGGCTAAGATTTCCAGATTCAGAGAGGAGGGGTGTTTGGTTTTGTGGGCTAGGAGGGGAAAGATATGGATGAAAGATGTTTGATAGGAAAGAAAGAGCAAATCATACCAGAACCCCCGCCAACCATCCACGTTTTGTTGTTGTTGTTGTGGTTTTATTATAATGAAGAGTAAAGTCTTAAAAAGGGGACTGCAATCAACATGCATTTTTCCAATTATGGAGGCTGTCCCAAGTTTAGGTGAAAATGACTATAGATTGAGATGTTCTGGTCTAATCACATCAAAGTACTCACACTGTTATCTATACCGAGTTGCAAAAGTTCTGTCACATTCACCTTAAAAGTACAATAGCTCATTTACTACTAAACATTGCCAAAAGAAATTTGGTACACGCGATCTTTATTCATTTTCTGCCAACATGGCATAAAAAAAGATTTGACAAATGTCTTTCCTTATTCAAGGGAGATAATTTTATTCACAATGACTCTTGCAAAATCCAAATCAAAGTTTGCTCAGTATGGCGTGTGGCCTCTTCCAGCTTGAATTACTAATTTAAAAAAAACATCCGTTCATTGACTGATTTGAAGTCCTTAAGGTTGCTTAAGGAATCCCCTGCCATTCTTTGTGAAGTGCAGCCTTCAGTTCCTCACCAGTTTATACGGAGTGCGGCCTGTTTCTATCCTCCAGTCAAGGTCATCTTCCAGATGTTCTGTTGGCTTATGGCTTGTGGATCTTGCAGGCCAGTCGAGAACGACGATTTGATGTGTTTGGAACACGTTTTCATTGATTGTAGCCATTTGTGGTTGGGCGTTGTCTTGTTAGCAGATTCCATCATCCGTGCCATGTAGCGTAGTCACCGTGACGAAGAATTTCGTCTCAATAATGTCGTTATTTGAGGTTGCTTTAAAAGGTAACTAAATGTATACGATAAAAAGCAGAGATTCCACCCCCTACCACCACATTTCAGCCACCTTTGGGCCTCTTGGGGGACGTTGGATTTGTGAAATTTCTATTCTCTTTTCTTTTAAACACTTTTTCTCTTCCATCAATGCTACGAATTGAAAACCTTAACCATTGCTGAAAAGAACACTTTACCAACATTTTTACTTAATCGACAATGTTGTTGGGCCAAAATTTGGCGATTTCTTCTATGAAACAGTGCTAGAAAGGCTCCACATAAAGGGCGATAATCACGCAATCCAGGATCTTATAAATGTCTAATAATGATGTTTCAAGACAGTCCGAAGTGCCTGGCAGTCTCTGCACTAAGTTGGAATGGGTTTTGAACTTGGGTGTTGACAATAAATCAATTCTGATGTCGAGTTGTCGCCCTTGGTTGGCCACGTCTAGGCTTGTCTCGGACAGTTCTAATGGTGTTAACACGTTTGTTCGAGCGTTATATGGTTCCTCTGCAAACATTTACGTGTCTTACAACAGCAGAAAGCGCAATTAAAGAATTTATCATACACACAGCCCTTTTATTTTCTGAATTTATTATGTTTAAAATTTTGAAAACAGGAGAAAAAGGTATCCAACCTTTAAAAAGTACAAAATTTTATAGTGTGTTAGGTGTGTTTGCATATTGTCTACGTTATGCAAAGCAAATTTTGTGTGTAGAAAACGTTGATTTCAACACAGACCGAGAGAAATCAATACCAACACTTTGTTCACGCACTACTTCCGGTTTATGATTTCTTTCGTCTGCTCTTGCCCAAGAAATCTCATAAGTCCCACAAGTCATACTCTAAACTTTTACTGCAATTCTTACGCTATACCGAAAATTGGCGTAATATAATGGGTGTGACAGAACTTTTGCAACTCGGTATATTTCTCCTTTGTTATTCCAGCAACAGTGCCACATGTGTTCACGGGAATAAATTATATTCTGCCTAAAAAATTCTCGTCATAAGATTGTCTCCAATTCTGAAACAGACCTCCCACAAGGACTCATTTTGTCTATATTTTGAAGTGTAAGATATTGCTTTTTGGATATTTTCAGTGAGTATCTGTCGGACTCCACCCCTGCTGTAAATACGCAAGGTCACGTAAAAAGTCCACGGCTGACAAGAGTTCAACGCCCCTTCGACAGTTACAAGTTACCGCCTGACTTTCGACCAGACCGTTCGACCATACTAAAGCATGCAAGACCCAGTAATGAACAGCTGAGAGAGGAACTAAAACTCCAATGCGGATTTTTAGGATTGGGCCAGCAACAACAGCAGCGACAGCAGCAACAGCAGCGACAGCAGCAGCAACAGCAGCAGCACCAGCAACAGCAACATAAGGTGCAGCAACAGCAACAAGTGAATACATCACACCTGGAACAAGAGCACCAGAATCAAGCACATTGGCTACAAGCACACGCGGAACAAGCACAAAAGTATGCAAGCCTCAGTAATGAACAGCTGATATCGGAAATAAAAAAACTCAAATGCTCATTGAATACACGTCGTCCTTTTTTAGGATTGGGCCTGCAGCAACAGCAACAACAGCAGCAACAGCAGCAACAGCAGCAACAGCAGCAACAGCAGCAACAGCAGCAACAGCAGCGGCAACAGACGGTGCAGCAACAGCAACAAGTGAATCAATCACACCAGGATCAAGAACATTGGTTACAAGTACACAGGGAACAAGCACAGAGGCTACAAGTACACGGGGAACAAGCACAGAGGCAACAAGTACACGGGGAACAAGCACAGAGGCTACAAGTACACTTGGAACAAGCACAGAGGCTACAAGTACACGGGGAACAAGCACATGGGCTACAAGTACACTTGGAACAAGCACAGAGGCTACAAGTACACGGGGAACAAGCACATGGGCTACAAGCACAAAAGCTAAAAACACATGGTCTACGAGCACAAAAGCCTAAAACACATTGGATACAAACATACAGGGAACAAACACAAAGGTTACAAACACAAAAGTTACAAGCATACGTGGAACAAGGACACGGGGAACAAGCACAACGACTACAAGCACACGGGGGGAAATCCCTAAAGGTAAAAACACATTGGCAAGAAGTATACACGAAACAATTACAAAGGCAACAAGCACACGCGGAACTAGAACAAAGGCTGCTACAAGAGCAAATGATAAAAGTACTTTTGCTACGAGCACAAGTGGAACTAAAACAAAGGCTACTACAAGCACAAAAGCTAAAAGCACTACAAACACACGAGGAACAAGGACACGAGGAACAAGCACAAAGACTGCAAGAACACGAGGAACAAGCACAGAGGCTACAAATACAACGGCTACAGACACTCGGGAAACAAGCACAAAGGCCACAAGTACACGAGGAACAAGCACAATGGCCACAAGTACACCAGCTACAAGTACACGGGGAACAAGCACACGAGGAACAAGCACAGAGGCTACAAGTACACCGGCTAGAGACACTCGGGAAACAAGCACAGACGCCACAAGCAGACGGGGCACAACGGCTACAGGCACTCGGGGAACAAGCACAATGGCCACAAGTACACCAGCTACAAGTACATGGGGAACAAGCACACGAGGAACAAGCACAAAGGCTACAAGTACACCGGCTAGAGACACTCGGGAAACAAGCACAATGGCCACAAGTACACCAGCTACAAGTACACGGGGAACAAACACAAAGGCCAAAAGCAGGCGGGGAACAAGCACAAAGGCTACAAGTACACGGGTTCACCTACCCGAATCACATGCTTACAGGCGGGCTGTCCACCCTAGGAGGCGTGGTTTCTGCTCAAGGGGGCGTGTCCATGCAGCCCTCTTGTTCACCCACCCTACTAAAGCACGTGCTTAATCGGTCGGTCATGACGCCGAAGAGTATGGGCGGAAACAGCATCGGCATGTCCAGCTCCCAGACCAGCGGCCCAGATATCAGCTCTACAGTCAGCAGCCTCGGCTCACAAAGTTCTGTCCCCATGCACCATCTAGACACCAGCCGGAGCACCGTCGGAACCAGCTCCTCCACCATGGACGTGGACTCGTACCCCATGAAAGAAGAGGCGGACGAAGGCAGCAGTAGCACCCAACCGCCACCCAGCCCCAGCCCCGACCCCGGCCCCAGACCCAGCTCCAGTTCCCTCCACTCCCCTACCACGAGCGACGTCAGCTCCGACGCGCTGGATTTCGCCCGCTGCGGCGTGAAAAGATCGCCTCCGGCATCTCCAGCGACAACAAGCCGCCCACTTCTGGCCTCAACGGGTCAGGCACGGCGGGGCCCAGCACTAGCAGTGGCGAGAGTGGCGGACCCAGCCCTTCCAAAGCCAAAGCAGACCCCAACAAAGACCCGGCCTACTTCTTAGAAAAACGACGCAAAAAGCAAAGAGAGTTGTAAACGGTCGAGCGAGGCGCGGCGCAGCAAAGAAGAGATGGTGGCCCTGAGGGTGGTTACTCTCGAGGAGGAGAACATGAAGCTGCGCGCTGAGAGCTCTCTGTTGGAGAAAGAACTTGACATCGCCCCTTTAACTAGACACACCGCACCCACTGACTCCAGGCTGGCCGCACAGCACGGCAGTCTACGCATATGATATTGTGGAGACTTCTCTTCAGACGACGAACTGACTGCTTTCTAAAATTACAAATGTGCGTACGTTTTTGTGGCAGCTTATACTTTACTTCAAATTCAAATGGCATTACCCCTCTAATGCTGGATTGGTGGTAATATACAGACCAATTGACAGCATCCAGCTGAGATTCAACTACACTAGAGATAAGACACACATGGACAAAAAAATCAAATCTATACCTCGGATATTTACTTCTATACAACATGTATGCTATGATCTCTGCCTTCTTTTTTTTCTCCCATTTCATCATACTCAAGTAAGCACTCAGACTGTCAAATGACACACCTATGTCTACAGAGATACCAAGACGGGGCCCCCAGCCCCCACCCCCGAAATCCCTGAACTCTCTCTCTCGCTCTCTCTCTCTCTCTCTCTCTCTCTC